CGTTTGTTCGATTATCTACAATTCTTAAGACGTTGATGGGTATAAATTTTATGATCGTAATAAGCTATATTGATTGAGATAATACGTCGAGTATAGAAGATTCTATTCCCTGGCAAGGAAATTGGGCGAAAATTTTCAGTATCCATATTTCAACCCTTACTTTTTGTTGTGTTATAATGTTTATTGATCGATTAATTCTGCATCTCAATTTCAGAACACAAGAATTTGACCTCAAGTCTTCTTTGTTAATATTTTAGGATGAACCTGGAATTGGATTCTTCTATTTTGAAGAGGTTTTATGTTAAAGTTTGAGGCAGATGATGAATCAAAAGTTTTAGGTTGAATGCAATAGTGAAAATGGAAGCTATATGAAAAAGGAAGCCGTTTGTAAAGTTGGTCTTTTGTCTCTTTAATTCATGTAGAACCTCCAAACTGTGCTGTTCATATTTTTCACTGAATCATGACACTTCCAAGTTTTCTATTAAGGCAGAACTTTTGTAACCGTCAAACCCCACTGCTAGCAAATATTGTCCTCTTTAGGCTTTTCCTTTCGAACTTTCCCTCAAGGTTTTTAAAATGCGTCTGCTAGAGAGAGGTTTCCACACCCTTTTAAAAAATGCTTCGTTCTCCTCCCCATTGTGGGATCTCACAACTTTAATGCCGAAGAATATGATTTTATCTATGAATCTACACATCACTAAACTGAGTAACATGGCTTTGAAATTCTTGTGGTTATGCAGGTTCTTGACATTGGTAGTTTGTTGAATTATCTTTAATGGCCAGCAAAGAAGTGATAGAGCCGCTGTTACCAACGTCGTCTAATACTATTGGAACAAGAATATTAGATATTCCCAGTAGCAAAAGACGATTGAGGCGCACTAAGAGTGCTCCTCATGCGGATTCACCTCAATCAGAGACCACCGGCACAGGCACAGGCACAGGCGCCGGCGCAGACACTTGTCCAGTTCCACGTTCAGGATTAATTTTTGGAAATCTTGGTCCGAGTTTAAGAAGAGTAGCCTTAGTTTTAATACTATACATGGGTATAGGAACTCTATGTTTTTATCTTGTCAGGTACCAAATCAAAGGGGAAAAAACAAACGGAATAGTTGATGCCATTTATTTCACTATTGTGACAATGACAACCGTTGGATATGGAGATCTTGTCCCAAGCAGTCCTTCAACAAAACTACTAGCTTGCGCTTTTGTCTTCTCGGGAATGGCCCTCGTTGGCCTAATACTAAGCAGTGCAGCCGATTATTTGGTAGAGAAGCAGGAAATCTTGCTATTTAAGACATTGAATGCGCACCAAAACGGCCATTGTGACATGACAAAAGAAATTGATACTGATAAAGCCAGAAACAAGTGTATAGTGGTGTTTCTCTTGCTTATTTTGTTCATCATTTCTGGGACTGTCTTTCTTGTTAACATTGAGAAGTTGGGTTTCATTGATGCCTTTTATTGTGTATGTTCTACCATCACTACATTAGGCTATGGAGACAAAAGCTTCTCGACTAAGTCGGGGCGCATCTTCGCCATTTTCTGGATCTTGATAAGTACCATCACACTGGCTCAGTTTTTCCTCTACATTGCTGAGCTAAACACTGAAAGAAGGCAGAAGTCTCTGGTGAAGTGGGTTCTGAGTAAAAAGGTGACAAACTTGGATCTTGAGGCTGCGGATCTCGATAACGACAGGGTCGTCGGGTAAGTCGTAATCTGTTCTTTTCATCACATAACATTCCTCAATTGATTTCTGAGAAGACCACAAGCAAGTTTGTGGAATTCACATATTGTTTCGTTCTTAATCCTCCACAGGGCTGCAGAATTTGTGATCCACAAGCTGAAAGAGATGGGGAAAATCACAGAAGATGACATTGCACCTGTGCTGAAGGAATTTGAGAAGCTTGATGTTGATCAGTCAGGAACGCTGTCCATATCTGATTTAACACTTGCTCAATCGTCTTAAACCAGAGAGGATATGCTGGTGGCCTTCCTTTTATATGACAAGAGTTAAGGTTGTTTTTGACATGTTGCTGTGTTGTTTGTCTTGCTGTTTCTTGTTTTCCAGGAATCTGGGAGGAATGTGAACAGCAGCTCTGCTTGCAAATCATTCAATATTCTTTTGAGATCGGATATCGTCCTTATGTTTTTGGTTAAGGTATCCACTTCTTGTTACTGAAATGTTTTAAAATTTGATAAATTATAGGTTGATGTGACAGATGAACGTAGGCTAATTATAGAAAATGTCTCTGGAATTTGATGAATTATAGAAGGTAAAGTTCTCTGGATCTTTAGAATTCGAACTCAATAGAAGAGTTTAGGCTCCTTTTTGAGAGTTGTCTAAACATTTGACACGCTCCTCTATTTAGGTAATAAAGCCTAGTCGAACTATCCCCACGCTCGAAGCCACCACGTCGTGTGACTTTGGCTTCTAACGTCTCAACCCTCAACATCAACTTTTAGACAGTCATGCCCTCTAGGTGACTAGCCACCATGTCAATCTTTTTGGCTTTGGTGACAATCTCATTAATGAGAGATTTCAAATATCAAACACTATTTGGGACTTCTCTCAAATAGAGCATATGTTCTTCGATCTCGATTAACATTGAATTTGTCTAGTTTCTTAATTGCGAATATCACATATCAACTGTTATAATTGTACTTGTAAGTAAGAAAACCAACTCAAACTCAAATGGTTAGTAGGCCTCTCTCACACCCTCCTCCTCCCCATTAATGTAAAACAAGTTAGAAAAACAACCCATAAAGGTTAACAATAACATTAATTACATATGACTCGGATATAAAGATTTGATGAATAGTCATATCTCCATATAATACACTATTAGTTAAATTATCTTTCACATGAATAAATATAAAAAAAGTGACGAATGTGTCAACAAAAATATTAGAAAAGTAAATACTATGCTTTAATTATTTGGTCAAATAATCGTAATGAAAACAATATTTTGATTTAGAATTTACCAATTTTTATTTTTAAATTAAATATTTTAAAATATTTTTCAGTCTAAAATTTTGATTATATTTTATGGGAAAAAAAAATTAATTTACTATCAATTTTCATTATAAACGCTTAAAACCCTCTTTAATTTTCATTAAGTTATCAATTTAAACATATCTCAAATAAAACATTAATTATCATCTTAAAAGTCTAGCTCAAATAAAATATAGTCTTAAAAGTCGATGATTCAATCTTGTGGAAGTTAACAAATTCTCTAATCCATCTAATCTCATCACAAAAATCAAGTTTGCCACAAAATTAAGCTAAAATAATAATGCATTGGTTCGACATCTAGAAAGTTTAGCTTTGTATTTTGCACGAGTTATGTAAATTAGGTTTTGATAATCTAATTTTTTTTTCTAAGCTTTTTTCTTCTTCATTCCTTTTCATGTTTTTTATCAACTTGTTCAAATATTAATGTAATAGTTAATAATTAATTGGCCTTCATATATATATATATAATCGATGAATTTTTTTTAAAAAATTAGCTACAAAAATATATATAACATAATAAAAAGTATTTTTTATTTAAAAAGGCGTACAAATATTTATCATAATTTTTTTTGTTTTAATTTTTCTTTGACATTTTCATAAAATTAATATTTATATCTTAAAACTTGAAGGACTAAAATACAGAAGACATTAATTTTGTGTAAGGAATAATACAAAAATGTCAGGATGGCCGAGTGGTCTAAGGCGCCAGACTCAAGTTCTGGTCTTCGAGAGAGGGCGTGGGTTCAAATCCCACTTCTGACAACACTTTTTATTTATTTCCTTTTCATTTTTCTATCTCATTTGACCTCTAATATTTTTGTAAATAATTAAACATAAATGTCAGGATGGCCGAGTGGTCTAAGGCGCCAGACTCAAGTTCTGGTCTTCGAGAGAGGGCGTGTGTTCAAATCCCACTTCTGACAACACTCTTTTTATTTATTTCCTTTTCATTTTTCTATCTCATTTGACCTCTAATATTTTTGTAAATAATTAAACATAAATGTCAGGATGGCCGAGTGGTCTAAGGCGCCAGACTCAAGTTCTGGTCTTCGAGAGAGGGCGTGGGTTCAAATCCCACTTCTGACAACACTTTTTATTTATTTCCTTTTCATTTTTCTATCTCATTTGACCTCTAATATTTTTGTAAATAATTAAACATAAACGTCAGGATGGCCGAGTGGTCTAAGGAGCCAGACTCAAGTTCTGGTCTTCGAGAGAGGGCGTGGGTTCAAATCCCACTTCTGACAACATTTTTTATTTATTTCCTTTTCATTTTTCTATCTTATTTGACCTCTAATATTTTTGTAAATAATTAAACATAAATGTCAGGATGGCCGAGTGGTCTAAGGCGCCAGACTCAAGTTCTGGTCTTCGAGAGAGGGCGTGTGTTCAAATCCCACTTCTGACAACATAAGGCGCCAGACTCAAGTTCTGGTCTTCGAGAGAGGGCGTGTGTTCAAATCCCACTTCTGACAACACTCTTTTTATTTATTTCCTTTTCATTTTTCTATCTCATTTGACCTCTAATATTTTTGTAAATAATTAAACATAAATGTCAGGATGGCCGAGTGGTCTAAGGCGCCAGACTCAAGTTCTGGTCTTCGAGAGAGGGCGTGTAAATGTCAGGATGGCCGAGTGGTCTAAGGCGCCAGACTCAAGTTCTGGTCTTCGAGAGAGGGCGTGGGTTCAAATCCCACTTCTGACAATCTAAGGCGCCAGACTCAAGTTCTGGTCTTCGAGAGAGGGCGTGGGTTCAAATCCCACTTCTGACAATTGTTTTCAATTTATTTCGCTTTTCATTTCTCTGTCTCATTTGATAACCGGACGACATTTTGTTCTCGAGCCTTTGGGCCATTGTTTACCAATGGGCTTAGCCCAATTTCAGTCGAGGTTAAAATGTAATTTCATTTTTGCAAAGGGTAAAAATATAATTTCTGAGTCTTAATGTTAATATAAGCAATTGAGTAAAAATTTATAGGTTTAAATGGGGTTTTAGTTCGTGAAATTTGTTGCTCGTTTGAACTGCTTGCGTCCTGTATCGAGTTTTATTGTTTTGCGTTTGTTACTTCACTTCGGATTTCAGATTCTTGAGAAGTGCGAGTTTTTGAATCCAGGTGGAAGTATGAATGATCGAGTCGCAGTTAAGATCACTGAAGAGGTAAGTTAATTTCTTTTTCCTGATGCTGCTTTTGGATTTGTGATGTATGAACTTGGGATCCTGAAATTTACTGTTGTTATTGTGTTAATTCGATCACTATGTTGGTTTTGTTGAAATATTGGTGAGTCGTTTTATTGTTCTTTGGAATCATCTCGGAAGAATATTAGGAATTCTAATTGTTTTTTTAATAGTTTCAGTATAGTCTGTTGTGAGCCTAAATGCTACAGGAATGCCACAACCAAAGTGGTTTGATATCAATTGTTGCAGCGAAACTGGAAACAATCGACTGCACTCACACGTCCACAAACAGAATTTAAACAAAGAGATAGATAGATTTACGTTGTTCGAAAAGAAGAAATTCCCTACATCCACATAAATCTCTTTGTCTCTTTGTTTAAATTCTGTTTGTGGGTGTGTGAGTACGGTCAATCTTGCTTCCGCCTTTGCTACAACAACTAGGCATCAAACCATTTTTTGTTGTGACATTCCACTACAACAATTGAGTATCAGAACATTGAAAGGTTAGCCGCAACATAGTCTCCCTCGTCCCACAGATTAATACGGTAGTATCTGTAAATTGCTATAAGTGAGAATGAACCTTGTCATATCCAACCAAAAATCCTTCCATCAGTTCCTCACTGATTTTTCCTTTTAGATCACTTGACGTGTAGTATTCTGGTTATGGAAAAATAACAAATAAATATCAGGGAAAAGAAGAAGAAAGCAAACCCACGTGGAATTGAGCTCGTTTAGGTGGCGGTGGAGGTGGAGGCGGAGGCGGAAGAGTTGACTGAAGTATTAGGAGGAATTGTGACGAAATTACCGTATTAAGAGGGAATTACGAGAGAAAGGATGCATCGGATGTGAGCATGTTAGGAATTCATGATTAGTATATATGATGTCTGTTTCTAGTTTATGCTTATGAGTTTGGAATGAAGTGTATGAGTATTCTTAGTCTACTAATCTTTGTGGAATCCCTGACCGACGCGCTGTGTGCTAAGTTAGGGATAATGAGTATTCTTTGTGGAAGCCTTAGCACCCAAGGTTGTTGGGAATTAGCTAACGAGCTTAATAGACAAGAGAATGGTTGGACCGAGGACCCGACCCACGTCAAAGACCAATAAATAACCTACTAGGAATAAAACTTAAAATATACTAAAAAGATAAGTAATAAAACTTGTTAATAACAAGTTAGGTACGGTAAATTAATTACTCACCAAAATTATTTATTACTAGTATTACTTCCATGGTCAGTAAATGCACCGTCACCGTCAGGTATGCCTTTTTAAGATTTAAAAATTGCTTAGTTAAATGATGTATGTAATAGAGGTTAATTTGTATTTTATAAGGTATGATATAATGTACATGTTTTAAATGTTAGCATGACTTATGACATGACAATATTAAATATGATAAGACATGTACTATATGATGACTATGTTATTACTGTGATTGCATGTATATGTATCAGTGACTTGCATTATTGTAAATGTTTATAGAACCTGATAGATAAGTATGTGACTGAGTAGTTATATGCTTTGTATAGATATGCCACCTAGAACTCGAGGAGGAGGTATCAGGGGACGCGAGGACGAGGTGGAAAAGGATGTAGTTGGGGATGCGAGGATTCTGTAGATCAGCTTTTCCCACCACCAGTGGTACCTTAGGCCGCACTAGAACCTATAGCTGCTTTGGTAGACGCTACAAAACCTGACGGCTAATCAACAATCAAATGCTTCTACATTGACCATGGAAGCTAGGTGCTTGCGTGATTTCAACAGGGGTGACCCTCAAGCCTTTAAGGGAACATCTGACGATCCAACTGTGGCACAAATGTGGCTGCGATCCATTGAAACTATATTTGGGTTGACCAATTGCCTTGGAGATCAAAAGGTGGAGTGTGCAACATTTATGTTACGTGATGATATAGAGCTGTGGTGACAGTCCACTTGGGAGATTATTAGACTTGAGGGTGTAATCTCGTGGGCAGAATTGAAGGATGCTTTTACTGAGAATATTACCCAGAGGACGTCCAACTCTGCAAACAACAATAGTTCACCCAGTTGAGTCAAAGGGGGCGTTATGTTACCACTTACGCCAGGGAGTTTTCTAGACTGAAACGTTTTGCCTCGAAGTTGGTGAACACATACTACACAACAGCACAACGGTTTGTGCTGGGGTTAGACACGAAGATTCGCAACACTGTTAAGGCGATAACGCCTACCACCTACGCTGCCACCCTTAGAGCAGCTAAGACCATGGGGGGACGTGATAGTTCTTGTGCTTCATCATCAATGGGACAGAAGCGACACCATGACCAAACTGACCGTAATGATTCATCTTCTTCACAGCCACAAAAACGACTTGAAAGATAGCACCGTGATTTCAGGCATGGACAGCAGGGAATTGAAAACATGTTAGACAACAAATCCAAGTGTAAGGAGTGTGGTAAGAATCATTAGGTCATTGTTTAGCTCGCTCTAGAGCCTGTTTTCGATGTGGGAAGGATAGCCCCAATCAAAACCGTCCTCCAGCACTGTCCTCCAGCAAAACCGTCCTCCAGCAATTTGAGGTCGCACTAATGATATCGGAAATCAGCATAGGTCATTGCGCATAGCGGATAGCCCCAATCAAAATCGTCCTCCAACAAGGGCTTATGCCTCTACTAGCAAGGATACTGGAAACCCTGACGTAGCGGTGACAGGTATTCTATCTGTTCTTGGTCACTTTACTTTGACATTGTTTGACTCGGGATCTATGTATTCTTTTATTTCTAAGCAAAATTTGTGTTAGAACCTTTCTTGCATGAATTTTCAATAGGCACCCCAGTAGGGTGGATATGATTGTTGCTTATAGGATAAAAGATGGTCGTGTATTAGTATCAGGGTTAAATTAGAGATTAGAGATTGATTTAATGGTAGTGATATGACTCTATATGTAATTTTGGAAATGGATTGGTTAGCTAGCATAGCTTGTTACAAGAAATAAGTAGTGTTACGCCACCATCCAATACCAGATTCAAATTCAAGGGTACGAGTCTGGGTACTATAACAAAGGTAATGAAAGCAAAGAAGCTGGTCCAGCACGGGACGTGGGCAATACTAGCCAGCGTTGTGGATATCAAGAAAGAATAAGCTTCCCTATCTACATTGCCAGTTGTGAATGAGTTTCCATTGCCTTGGCTAGTATTGCCCACGCTCCGTGCTGGACCAATTTTTCGCTTTCATCGTTGATATCACCTTTGGCATAGTACCCAGACACGTTTGAATCTGGTATTGAATGGTAGTGTAAACACCAATTCTTTCATGTAACAATCTATGCTAGCATAATTTTTTTTTTTTTTTTTTTGCTAACCAATCCATTTCCAAAATTACATCCTATACAGTTTTGTCAACTACCATTAAATCTATTTCTAATTTAACTCCGGATACTAATACATGACCATCTTTTATCGTATAAATAACAATCATATCCACCCCTGTCGGGATGCGTACTAAGAATTCATGCAACAAAGGTTCTAACACAAATTTTGATTGACTAACAAAAACAGTAGAAATAAAAGAATGCGTAGATCTCGAGTCAAACAATGTGAAAGCAAGGTGACCAAGAATAGATAGTGTACTTGTTACCGCTGCATCAGGGTTTCCAGTATCGTTGCTGGAGGAAGGTTTTAACTAGGGTTATTCACTATGTGCTTGCCTATGCTAACTTTCGGTATCATTGGTGCGACCTTTAGGACAGTCCTTAACCAAGTGACCTTCCTTCGGCCACATAAAAAACAGGCTCTAGAGCAAGCCAAACACTTACCCCAATGATTCTTACCACACTCCTTACACTTGGGCCTGTTTTCACTTCCCTGCTGTCCACGCCTAAAATCACGGTGTTCTCTGATCATTTCTATGGCTGTGAAGAAGACAAATCATTACGGTCAATCTGGATATGGCGTTGCTTTTGTCTCAGAGACAATAAAGGACGAATCATTATGGTCGTCATAGCATTGCTTCTGTCTCAGAGACAATGAAGGGGGTTCACGAGAACTATTAGGTCCCTCCATGGCCTTAGCTACTCTCAGGGTGGCAGCGTAGGTGGTAGGCGCTATCGCTTCAACAGTGTCGCGAATTTTCGTGTCTAACCCCAGCACAAACCGCCATGCTGTTCTGTAGTCTGTGTTCACCAACTTTGAGGTAAAACGTTTCAGTTAAGAAAACTTCCTGGCGTAAGTGGTAATAGAACGCCTTTTCTGACTCAATTGGGTGAATTCCTGATGTTTGCGGAATTACGTCCTCTAGGTAATATTCTTCAGTGAAAGCACCCTTGAATACCGTCACCATAGCTCTGCATCGTCATGCCGTATAAAATGTTGCACACTCCACCTTCTGGTCTTCAGGGCAGTTGGTCAACACAAATACAGTTTCAATGGATCTCAACCACATTTGTGACATAGTTGGATCGTCAGATGTTCCCTTAAAGGTTCGAGGGTCACCCCTCTTGAAATCACGCAAGTACCTAGCTTCCATGGTCGATGTAGAAGCATTTGATTGCTGATTAGCAGTCAAGTTTTGTATCACAACTTGCAATGCGTCTACCCAAGCAGCAGTAGGGTTTGATGTGATCTAAGGTACCACTGGTGGTGGGACAGGCTAATCTACAGAATCCTCGTATCCCCAACTATGTCTTCTTCCACCTCTTTCTCTACTCCTAAGTGGGATCGTCTCCTAATACCTCTTCCTTGAGTTCTAAGTGGCATATCTATACAAAGCACGTAACTACTAAGTCACGTACTTAACTATTAGGTGCTATAAACATTTATAATTATGCAAGCCACACATACATACAATCATAGCATTAACTTAGTTATCACATACTACATGTCATATCATATTTAATCTTGCCACATCATGAGTCATGCTAACATTTAAAACAGGTACATTATATCATACTTTATAAATTAACCTCTATTACATACATAATTTAATTAAGCAATTTTATAATTCGTATTAAGTATAAGTCATGAGTCATTCTTGCATGCATAAGTCATAATGCGAAAGTTCATATTAAGTAACTTTAAAATAACATGGTTTTACATAAATAGTTTAAAACACAAAGTTTAACATAATCTCGAAAATCATTCAACAACCAAAACTAGAAGCTCAAATGCAAATGTTCATCGTTTAAAATAAAACCCAATGAAAACATCTGCGGCCCTACAATGCCTTCATATCAACTTCCATGGTCTTCGTAGCATCCACCATCAATCGTGCATGGGAGCCTTGCCTTTAGCTGAATAATTTAGGTAACACGTGGTTTGAGTATTTTATGAAGTACTTAATAAGTCACCCCACTGTTGGGGTTAGATATGCAAACACACTCAAAACATGAGTGGGACCTAGTGGGACCTATCTTTCATAAACTTTACATGGCTTCAGGCTCTTTTCTTTTTCGGCCAGGGTTGAATGTATGGTACTTCCTTCACACACGGCTAGGGACAACAAGTATTCTCGACCATCGGGATGTGTGCTAATTCAGACCGGCAAAGAGTTTAGTAAACATGTTGTATTTGATAGAGAGAGAATCTTACATACGAGTTAGAAATTTATAGTAAGCATTAACAAAATCATTAGATAAAAGTTATTGGCCAAACCACCCTAAGATCGACAGAGAAGCCCGAGCACCCAAATTGTTGGGAATTAGCTAACGAGCCTAAGAGACAAGGGAATGGTTGGACTAAGGATCTGATCCAAACCAAAGACCGATAAATAACTTGTTATGAATAAAACTTAAAATAGACTTGCAAAGTTAAATAATAAACCTGGTTAATAACAAACTAGCTACTCACTTACTCACCAATTTTTTTTTTTTTTTCTTTCTAGATAGATGAGACACTGTATGATCGAGATGATGGTGTGGACGAGTCGAAGACCTCAGGGATCCTACCTCGATCCGAGTCTATTTTGTTGTAATTACTTTTGTTTTATTTTGGAAACTTGTGTAGGATGTAGGATGTAACTTAAGTATAAATATATGTAAATTATGCTCGTTTTTTTTTATAATAATATAAAATAGGAAATGTTTTCTATAGAATATAATATATGTCAA